TGCATAGTCACTATACTTAAATAAGTATAGTGACCACGTGGCTCTCTGCCACGATGCGACCCTTAGTACTTCAGGCACGGTCACATCGAGCCTACTTTTGTACCCAAGGTACAGCCATATCACATTGATGTGGCAGGTGTGTATGTAAAATACACACCGTCGTGTAATTCCGTTACGCCCTCCCCCCACCAATCCGTGGGACCCGTCGTACCCACGAATTTTTGCACTTAATTGGAGGCATCCATTTCATTTTCTTCTCATTTTGCTTGCTTCGCAATAAGTGCCTCGCACTTACGAACAAAGCGTTAGTGTTTTTACCCTTCGATCTTTGAGCACCCGGGCATTGCACACACTCTTTATAAGCATCCTCGTGTTACGACACTCGCTCTTTAACATACAGTGCATTGCATTCACGCTAAAGCATTAAGTGTTACGACACTTGCTTGTAAGCGTTAAGTGCCAAGCACTTGGTAATAATACCCTTTGCGTGTTTACAAACACTTGCTTTCACAGCACTAAGTACCTAGCACTTTCTTTGAAGCATTATCGTGCTCACAACACTTGTTTTATAAAGCACTTGTCCCGATAGCGCTTGCTTCATCATGGATGATGCAATGCTTCGCGACATCTTTGGGGACGATGACAGTGACGTTGCCTCTAGGTAGCGGAACCGAGTCTCCTTCAGGTCATAGTACCCCAAGATCATCACGCTCACCAAGCGAGGGACGTCGGTCCCATTCTGTGTCTTCTCCCCAAGGGAGACGACCCCTTTGCGCCAAGCGCCACCACTTACCTCGCGAGAGGGTACCGACGAAGAGGTAACAAACTCTCTTGACGCTGCACAGCGTTGTCAACTTGATGACAAGGACCAAGCGGCCGCCTTCGCACGGCCCAAACAGACCTTTACAGCTACTTGCCCCGGGACCCCACATGAGGAAGCTCGACGAGCTGCATCGCAATCTTTACGAACCTATATCATTGGATCCCATGCCCGTACGGCCTGCGAGAATGCAGATAGTGTTGCTCTTCGTGAGCGGCTCCTTACTCCCCAGGAGTTTACGATGAAATCGTATCAGGAGCGACTGTCACGACAGTCATGCAGGGTGCCCGTGCACCCACTAAATGGCATACCAGTGGTGCTTGCACCAGGTGGAACATCTGCACAAGATTATTTTTTTTATCACCAGTTTACCCGTTGGGTTGAACGAGCATCTAAGCTCTCAAGTTTATCAAACTTGCGTTTAAGCGCCAAAGCGCAAGACGTTTGGTTAGAACGTCGCCAACGTTAAAACTTCGCTAAGCTCAAAGCGAAACGTCAATTATCTTCCACATACAGGTCAAAGACTTGTGATGAGCAAGCTTCTGAAGCTGTTGCCCGTACCTCTCACTCGAGTGATGTACCGACATTGGCTTCTTCTGAGCCAGAGGCGAAGCCATCCTACTGACCCTAATTCCTCATCACCTAATGCTACGAAGCGTCCGACGACAGCTGTCGTCGCATCTGACCGTCCTGGTCAAAAGCGTCAACGGCGTCAGGGAAATCCTGCCGGAAGGGTACCTCATACTCCCACGAGTCATACGACTGGAAGTAACCCCTCCACTTCACCAAGTATTCCCTATGACCCAGGTGACGACGACAAGCCAAGAGGCGTTCCACGTGGAACTCTTGATGACCCCGGTTATCAATCAACGTTGGAGGAGGTCGATGACCCATTGACCTCTCATCTCTTGAGATTGAGCGTCGCCTGACGCTCCTGGAGCGTAATGCCCTTGCATCGGTGAGGTCTCACCTGTCATCGCTCGATGACAGAGTCGATCGACACCGTCGGTCTTTTGAGCGTTATTGCTCTGAGACCTCGCATCTTTTAACGGCAATTGATCGCTTTCAAGCCAAACTGCGATGACAGATCGACCTCCTGGTACGCCTCCAGCGTCCATATGCACCTCCGGTGCAGTACTTCCCGCCTCCTTCGGCCGAGGATTCAGGGAGAACCCCTCGAAGTCCACCGAGGCAGGGTTGAGATATGGCTTAAGTAAGCCTACGTAGAACACAGGATGTGTTCTCATCTTCTTTGGAAGGTTCAGCGTATAGGCTAAACCTTTCTTGCTTATGACCTTGAAAGGTCAAATAAAGCGTGGTCGTAATTTAGTTTTATATACCGCCAAAACGGCACGGAAAGGTAAATTCCTAGCGTTTAATAAAACTAAATATCCCACTTTAAACTCATGTTCGTATTTTTGCCTTTGTCACATGCTTACTCCTTCTGAACATCCTGGCTTTCCGCCATAGCGTCTTTGACGCAACGTAATACGTCAAAACGCGTTAACAGAAACGCTTCCACCTTTTTGCGCATAGCAACAGGGCTGATATCAGCCAAGCCTTCGTCTATCTCTCTCCCACTAAGCCCTGATGTGGCAGGGGGGTAGAGTTAAAGGAACGCGAGGGTTGACCATACAATTTAAATAGAAATGGGGTGAAGCCTGTCGAGGCATGTACCGCGTTGTTCAACGCAAACTCTGTGAGAGGGAGCATCGCGCACCACTGCTTGGGTGTTTCAGCACAAACACTGCGAAGCATATCGCCAATAACGCGGTTGACGCGTTCAGTCTGACCATCGGTCCGCGGATGATCCGCCGTGGACATGTCCATTCGAGGGCCGAGCACTTTAAAGACGAATGTCCAAAACTTACCCGTCAAACAGGGATATCTCTCCGAGACGATTGCCACAGGCAATCCTTGTTGTCGAAACACACGATCCATGAACAGCTTTGCTGTTCCTTCTCCATCAATGGAGTCCGGCACTGCCGCTAAGTGAGCCATCTTGCTCAATTGGTCAACGAAGACCACAATCCCAGTGTTGCCTGCCTTATTCCGCGGTAGGCCAAGCATAAAGTGACTGACACAACCCCGAGGGTACAGGCAAACTCGCCAAAGGCGCAGCCATATTTGGCAATGGTTTCACCCTTTGACACATTTCACACGTGCGTACGTAGGTGCCAACCCATTTGTACAACTTGGGCCACCAATAATGGGTGCTCACCGAGCTGTAGGTCTTTTCACGACCTAAATGACCACCAAGTGGTGTATCATGAGCCGCATAAAGTATCTGATACTTGAGGTCCTCATCATGAGGCACCACAACACGAGGCTGGTCGTCCGACCCTGTACTATAGTACAACAGACCATCGGTCAGTGCATAACGATGTAATCTCGCACGATTACGTGGTGACAACTTCACCTTAGAGTTTCAAACTCTGCGCTACCTAGCGCCTGCAGAATGGCAACACATGTCTCATCGCGTGCATACGCCACACGGATACGATCCGTTACTGACGAACTCACAACAGTGAGATGAGCAAGCTCATAGTCAGGTCTACGCGATAACGCGTCTGTCAAAACATTCGGTTTTCCCGGCTTATACTTCACTTCGAAGTTATACTCCGCGAAAAAGGAGAGCCAACGAGCCATTCTCTGCGAAAGATGAGGCGACTGTGTCGCTGTGCGTAAAGACGCATGATCTGTAAAGGTCAAAAACGGCTTTGAGCCCAACAGGTGTAACCTGAACTTAACAAGGGCATACTTCATCGCAAGCAGCTCAGCAAATACCTGCTGTTGATCGTGGATGAGGCGAGTGGATGTATGAAAGGATTATGCGTACGCATTAAGTCGAAAAGCGGAGACGGCATTTGGAAGTATACCACGATGGTGCAGACGCAGGTTGGCAAGAAGGTCCAGTTTGTGCGCCACGACGGAGCTCGCGAGTTTGCGACGAACTCGCTCAGGATATCTACGAGGATAAAGGCATTGAGCAACAGACTACGGTGCCGTATGCAACCAAACCAAAGAAACAACAGAGCGCGCCATCCGGCCTATCGTCACGATCGGTCGCAGCTTAAGTTTCAAAGGCCAAGTGAGCGTTGTTTAGCAGAATGCAAAGGGATATATATTAGGGACTTAGTTCACTAAGAGCTACCTCTAAGCCTAACGTTCTAGAACCTTCTAGAACCTACAGTGAGCATGGCATCGAGTGACGTCATTGCCGCCGTCGGACAAGTATACCGGTAACTACCGGTATACCAACTTACCCATATCGACAGAAGACTTACCGCGGACGATCTTCGACAACCGGTACCTTACCGGTATATCAGTACCTAAGCAGATAAACCTGCCGACTTGACAGCACCTCTTGCGGGTCGAGTCGCTTCCTGAATAGTCTCTTTGACAGCACTCCCACTCGACTCGACAGCTCTTGATTCTTTGATACCGAGCTTGCTCCGAATTGTGCAGACTTGCGTTGCTGGAATCGGCTTTGTCATGATGTCAGCCAGTATGTCTTGTGTCGGGCAGTACTCCAATGCAACTTGACCATCTTCGACTTTCTCACAAACAAAGTGGTAGCGGATGTCGATGTGCTTGGTGCGCTTGTGAGACTCGGAGTTCTTGGCCAATGCAATCGCGCCTTAATTGTCTTCATACACTGTTACAGCATCATTGCCCGTAACTTCACCGAGCTTACTCATGAACGCCTTGAGCCACACTGCTTCTTGGGTCGCTTCTGACAAAGCCATGTACTCAGCTTCAGTTAACGAGAGGGCCACAGTGCGCTGCTTCTTGCTGCGCCAACTGATGCAGCCATTGTTGATCATGAACACATACACGCTGGTACTTCGCCGAGACTCAATGTCGCCTGCCCAGTCAGCGTCTGAATAGCCGACGAGATCACCATCACTGGATCCAGTAAAACGAATGCCGTGTGTCGGTGTAGCTTGCAGATACCACAATACACGCTTGAGTGCTTGCCAGTGTGTCGGACAGGGATCGGCGGCGAACTGACTTAGTGCACCTACAGCTGCAGCAAGATCTGGACGTGTGCCGACCATCAGGTACATCAACGCGCCAACTGCACTGCGGTATGGTACGCCCTTCATGGTTTCATCGTGGTTGCAGACGCCTTCACACATGCTCTTCATCAGCTTCAATCCTGGGTCTTGTGGCGTCTTCACGGGCTGCAGTCTTGCATGCCAAACTTGGTCATTATGGACTTCAGGAACTTGGTCTGCCGCATTGACACGTCACCCGACTTGTCATCATGCTCGACTTCCATACCAAGACAATACTTGAGCTCACCAAGGTCGGACATCTCAAAGCGCTCATTCAACGCTGTCTCAACCAAAAACAGGAACTCGCCAGTGTCATCTTCGACCTGCGCGATGTTCGCTCGCTGCGGCCTTTGCCGCTCCGTATTCCCACGGATACGCACCGGACACTTGGCAATCCAATGTCCGTGCTCCCCACAGTAGTGGCAGACCCCACCAGTCTTTGGCACCTGCCGTCCTTTGCGTCGGCCGCTGTCGTTTGCCATGAACGCTTGACCTTGTGCGGCGTTGTCGAACCTGCTACCTTGTTCCTTGCGCTTCATGTCTTCGTGCAGTAGTCGAGACGTCAGCAGCTCCCACGTTAGCGTGTCCGCACGTGACTCCAACGCCATGATCAAAAACTGGTACGTGTTGCCAAGACTCCCAAGAAGCGTGATCACTAAGTCGTCCTCGCTAACCGGAGCACCCACAGCGTTGAGCTGTTCCGCTAGAGTCTTGATCTTGTTGATGTGTCGGAGAACATCATCACCTTCTTCCATCCTGGTCGTAAAGAAACGACGACGAAGAAAGAGCTTGTCCGCCAGGCTCATCTTCTCGTGTGTCCCTCCAACCGCGACCAAGCATCATGCGCGCCACTTGACGATCGAACCAGTGGCAGCTGCGAATCCTCCATCGCCAGACAGATGATCGCTAGTGCCTTCCGAGACTTGCGCTTGTAGGTTCCTTGGTCCAGCGGGCTTGTCAGGTGTTCAAGCTTGATTTCACCACTTGTCACGTCCCAGAGGTCCTTCTCTTCCAGCACCATTTGCATCTTGAACTTCCACGTATGGAAGTTCGTGCCGTCGAACTTGTTAATACGGCTCGATGCTTGGGCGTCCATGGTGGTAGCGAAGGCAGAGGCTGAGGCGAAGAAGGCGGAGGTTGCGGCGGGGAAGGCGGAGTCAGCGGGACTTGGGCTCATAACCTAAAGTTTCAAAGGCCAAGTGAGCGTTGCTTAGCAGAATGCAAAGGGATATATATTAGGGACTTAGTTCACTATGAGCTACCTCTAAGCCTAACGTTCTAGAACCTTCTAGAACCTACAGTGACATCATCGAGTGACGTCATTGCCGCCGTCGGACAAGTATACCGGTAACTACCGGTATACCAACTTACCCATATCGACAGAAGACTTACCGCGGACGATCTTCGACAACCGGTACCTTACCGGTATATCAGTACCTAAGCAGATAAACCTGCCGACTTGACAGCACCTCTTGCGGGTCGAGTCGCTTCCTGAACAGTCTCTTCGACAACATACACATGATACTTAGCATCGTCTCTATCTTCTTGAAAGCTAATAACTAAAATGGTGCTGTCAATTGGACGTCATGAGCATGATCATCACCACACGAAAGGTCAGACATTTTGCTATTAGTATACTAACAGTTTTTTTGCGTAGTGCAGTCGCATCATATAAATTTAAATACAAAAGCTTTTAAATCGACTAACACTACACGAATGCAACCTTCTTCGCAAATGTGAACTTCTTTGTTATCCACCTGCAGACAATTCGCAAGATAAAATGCTTACCAGTGCACAGAGCTGAGTGTTTTTTTTGAAGCCACTTGAACAGCTCCCCTTTCTGCAAACACCGTCTTTTTCACTATCTGCGTCACTTTCACATCTGTCGTGTGCCACTTTCTTGGCACTTAGATCAAAATTGATGCCATCTAGTGCAATTATCCCAAGCAACGTCGTCGACAACATCCGTTGTGCATTATGTGTATGCTTCCTCCTTTAATCTTTCTGCCACTATGGTGTATATACAGCGACAAGATCACTACCATTCGAAAACGCAATTTCTCTCTTCTCAGCGTCCATGTGCTGGCCCAGATCAAAGTGGTGATCTATAATTTCACGATCTGCATTCCTTCAATCGATGGATATTTCTTATTATTTATGCGTTATGATCCAGTAGCGTAACCTTTTCTTTGTGGACGAGTTTTCATGGGACATCATCAAACAAACACGAGAGCATCAGTGTTAGCTTTAAGCGTCTGAAATAGGGCGGTGACGTATCAATTTGTCACGGTAGATGAGTAATACAGGCATGTATAGTGTGTCTGACTGCAGTTGAATGTATCCATGTTGTTTGTAAGCGTAAACAGCCTTGTGCTGTTCTTTTGGGCACAGCTGTAATATACCTGTTAGGACAAAGCATACTCATGGCCAAAAAGAGTCTTTTTTTGTAATCTGCTTCTATATTGGATTTGCGCTGCTGTGTGGTTAACGACCTAACAAAGGAACTTTGGAGAGGCTGTGACTTGTTGCAAGGTGTCTACTTTTGTAAGACTATTTCTGATCCTTTATGATAGCATCCAACACATTGATTTCTTTCGTGACCAAAGCTTCGATAAAGATTTATTTTGTGGCTTGTCGTCCGCGGCAATGCAAAATGACAACGGTATTACTGGACGACATGGAGTGTCGTCGCTTTCCGTCGTGGCTGTTTTTTCCCGACAACTTGTACTACAAAGGGTAGGTGCTGCCACTTTGTTAAAGGTATACTAACATGTAGACTGACTGTGGACTTAGGATCAATGTTGAAGTTGATAATGTGGCCACTGGATCACGGCTATCTGTATCCTGTTCTGTGTTTTGTTTACTGTGAAAACGGTATATTTGATCGGCATTGGCACTGGCTATATTAAAGCGGAAGAGTCACAGTATCGCACTCCTCTAGGTATTCACCACATCACGGCCGAATTCCTAATTCATTTGTCGACTGAGTTTATTACTTTCGCGCTACTTCTTGTTTTCACACGCTAGGACAAGAGCTCATCATACCATCGCCAGCATATTCGCTCGTCACCGGCAACCTCGGTATCCGCTTTGTTATATGGTGGTAGCTACTAAGTGAATAACTCACGTGATTAGCCCTCGATTCCGAGCTATGCCTATGTACCTATTCGTGGTATTACCCCAGGTCAACTCTGCCAGGAATATGTTATTCTATTGCTTTCGGGGTATCAATATCAGGTACGCAAAGCTAGATCATAAACTGGTTTGTTGTCTATTTGATTGAATCATCGCTGTATGTTTAATGTAAGCAACACAACAAGCATACTGGTCGGCTAGCAGCACAACGCCGATCTCTACATTAAACCTCTGCTCAAGCAACATTACTAGAGGTTTCTTGCTCGAAAGCATTAGTGGAAGTGCGTTTGCCAGTGCAAGTTTCAACGCAAGTCAAAAGATAAGATGGCGTACCATTAAACGTAGTACAACTCCAACGAATGACAACTGCAGGTAATCCATAGTTTCAGTGTCGGATGCTCTTGATGGAAGCTGGTTAAGGAAAATGACTGGCATGTTTCTATACGCCAGCACTTCAGTCGCTGACATGTGTGCTAAATGGTGACAAAGTTGCTTGAGTTAATTGGTGAATGTTAGTTGTTATACCGTTCTACTATCAGACTAATGTTTTTTTGGGCTCGTGACATTTACTGACTGACATAAGCTGACTACTCATTAGTACCATCTTGCCGCAAGTGTGGGGAAGTGGGTTCTCAAAACTGCGTATAGACCCCAAGCCACTTACTGTACCGGACTGCGGACTGTCGGAGGGAGTACCCCGATGCCGCGTGTAGATCTTCTCTCACCTTGTGTACCCGTCGGCTGACGGGTTGCACTCTTCGGAGGACTTGGTTGAGATGTGATGTCAGCCTTGACAGAGGTCGACCTTGGAGTGCCTCGAGTGGGTATGCTTCACTCGGTAGGCGGGTAGGTGGCCACTCGGTCGACTAGGTCGAGGGTGGACTTATAACTAATTCTTCAGGGAATTCTCAACCCTGGCTTTTCCCTTCCTTTTCCTTAATATCTCAGATATTAATCGCCTGTCCTTTACTTGCTCCCGGAACACTAGGGTAGGGAGACCGCTTCCGATAGCGGATTAATTTGGAGGATGCTACTCAGACGAACCCACAGGCCAAATATATCCTGGGGCTCTATTCGCACTTGGGTCTTAACACACAACTGTCTTCGACGGGGGGCCAAAATGTATCCTTTCCCGAAGCAGGTGGGTAGACTTAGTAAGGACCTTGGAAGCACGACGGAGGCGTGCTACGTAGATCGCAAATTGAGTAGTATTTAGTAAAGTCCTATCTTTTAACTTCTTTACTCTATCTTTACCCCCGAGACCTGATTCTTGATTCTGCTTGCCGAGGGGCCGAGAGTCCAGGGAAGACGAGAGTCCAGGGAAGCCAAGGGACCGGGGGGCCGAGGGTCAACCGACCGAGGCCAGGTCTACCTTTATGAAAAACCGAGGTCTACCAATGATAGACCAGAGCCTACTTTGGAAGACCGGGGTCCATCTTGAGAAACCGCGGTCCATCGGCCTAACCGCGGTTAACTCCTCTAAATGGAGCACGCTTAACCGTACATTTCTCCTCACCCAACGGTCGTTTCCCGTCCTTTTTAGCGCCCCGTCTCGTTGTCCCTTACCCAAAGGTCGCTTGTCCTTTTTAGCGCCCCGTCTCTTTGACCCACAGGTTCTCTGACCTACCAATTCTTAAAACGCTTCACCACAGCCGCCCTCTGCACTTGATCAACGGTACATCCGCTTGAACACGCGCATGTTTTCAAATACTCCTTCCTGTAAGTACTCCTTGTTTGTTTGTCGTTTCAATATTCGTTGTGTGATCTGATGTATCTCAGCTTTCCCTTCCTCCGGGGTAGACCTAACGACTGAGGGGCCGGTCTTAGCGCTCCTGCACTTTCCGCTGACCCAGAGGCCCAGGTTCCCTCCCGAACGCCGATCGACACTCTTCTCCAGGTGCCCGGGCGAAGGGAGTTCACAGCAGTTCCTTCTGAGGTCGCAGGTGATGAGGGTCCCCTGGTAAATGCGCGACGTCGAGGATCTGGGCCACGCAGATGGAGATATCGCATTCAGCAACACTATCAGCGGTCGAGAGCCCAGGTGAATGAGAACCTACAAGCGTCCAGTCATCCGAGCCATTAATGAAGGGGTGGTCGACCACAGATTCAGTCGAGGACTCAAGTGTGGCTCTATCTGGACCGGGTGAAAGAGGGATACGCAAGAAACTGGCCCACCTCTGGCATGAACCTTTTCGAATTCTATAGTTGGTGGGAGAACACGCAGCACGCTTAGAAACTAGAGGTACGGAGTACAGACTATTCCTTGTGGTGCATCTATCCAAACTCAAAAGGGTTAGAGAGTTCCCGACCGACCGAGTGCTGAGTTAGAGACGGACAAAATAGATCAGGTCGACTTCGATGAATGCCTGTTGCCGGAGGACAGTTGGGCAAGAGAGCTGGAAGAAGGAGAGTGCGAGATTGAGGAGGTCTTGGAAGCCCGCACTGGAAAGAAACCACGCTCTGGGAGACAGCAACGAGAGCTCCGCTTCCGATGAAAAGGGTATGAAGACCCCTCGTGGGTGGATGAATGGATTTGAATTGTGCAGCCTTACTTCGGGATTTTGAACGCAAGGAGACAAGGAAGAATCTCTTTGAAGCGATGCAAAATCATGAGGAATAGAGGCCGAAAACGAGGGTCCTAGATGGTCGACCAGAGTCTATAGTGGGTAGACCTCGGTCCCTCGGTAGTAGATTTTGGTCTTCTAAGATTGACTCTGGTCCATCATTGGTAGACCTTGGTCTTTCAAGGTAGACCCCGGTCATTTCGAGGTTGACACTGGTCCCTCGTTGATAGACCCTGGTCTTTCGTCGTAGACCTTGGTCTCTAGTGTGGAGTCTGGTGGAGAAAACAAAGCGGAGTAAGGTTCTAAGGAAGAATGGAAGCAGAGATTCAAGATAGTTACTGGAAAAGATGGCCACAAGTATATTAGGGAAACGCTTACGGTGTCTCTCAAGGCCGAC